TCGTGTAGGTGTTTGATTAAAGGCTGAAATGAATGTCAATGTGTAGTATTTTCTAATTTCTATGACTTCGCTTTCCGTTTTTTTTTACTGTCCAGAATTTTTTATGGCTTGTTATCTTATTGTATCTTTAAACCACGTTCTCTTGCAACGTCCGTACAATGATTTGGATTTCTATATTTCCATGGATGATTTAATATATTTTACGTAGCAAATGTTATGTCATATGTGAAGATCACAATAGGTTGTTAAAATGCAGATTAGTTTAGGGCTCGGTTATAGACAAATTACTTGACACTCTCATGTTTGAAGTTTATGACCGATCAGCTACAAAGGCTGGATTGATCGATTAATTAATACAAAAGCTGCACTTTCTATGTAATGGTTTTGCATTTCCTTCATCCTATAGAAAAGTCTTGTTAAACATTCTAGGAGCTGCAGTTTGTTTCTGAAAACATACTGTTGCTCTTCACAGTCTCTCCTTTTTAAATGGATGATGACATATAACAGCTTCAACAAACATGTTCATTTTTTCTGATCGCTATTTCAGTAAGCTTGTTGCTTCCACCATCCATTAAAAAAAGAAATGATAAAACGTTCATCTTTATTCTTTCATTTCCTTGTGCTTCCAATATTTACTTTTGTCCACGAATATATAACTGAATCAGAAATCCATCCATATTATATGTTTCTATTCTAACTACATTATAAGTTCCATCAGGGCTGATACATTTCGTTCTGATCTAATCATTGCACTTGCAAATTGATGTTGCACTTGCACACATGCTTATTTTCTTTATTTTTCCCATCTTCTGCCATTGGGAACTTCACACTGAAATTCAACTAATTTCCCCCCAATAAACCCAAAGGATGAGGTTTTATCAGAAATCCTTTGCAATATAGTTCATGGTCAGGATTAGTTTATTTTGTGTTGAAAGAAGCTTATGATCAAAATCTTAATGAGAGCTTAAAAAATATTTCCTCAAAAATAATTTGAACCAAGCATGCTCTTAGATGACCAACTAGGTTTAGCACCCAGGCCATGTCAATAAAATGAAAAGGATCATCAAATTATAACCATAAATTCTACGATTGTAAGCTAGCCCATGTAAGTTTTGTAGTGGACATCAAGTTTGACTAATCATTTACACTGAAGTAATCTAGGCAATTCCAATGTTGAGTGCAGGTTAAACATGAAATCAATTGTTTGGAGCTTCCACTCATTGAGCACACGCGGGGACCTGATTTAGACAGGCTTCCTTCTGTATTAGGTGGTAAGTTTTAGGAAAAACCCATGCTATGAACATTTGAATATTTTGAAAGGTTTGAATTATGCAGTTTTTATCTAGTAAAGATAATTATATATGAATTTATCTTTTATTGGGCCAATTTATTGACTAAAATTTATGTGTCCTTAATAAGAAGAAAAATGCATTGGTGACCAAGGAAGCACAGACACCTGAAAATAATAGTCATATTAGTGTTGTGCACGTGTTGGACACTTTGAAGTTTGAATACTTAAAGCTGCATTTTACAGTTTTTTCATTTTTTTTGCCTATTATATCAATACAAATGGTAATGTTACAATAATTAGATAAGTTATAAAATTTTATTATGTCTATGATGACTCAAGGCTCAGTTTTAAAGCATTCTTTCTTTCTTTTTAAATAAGATTTGTGTTCAAATGTTAATTTTATACATTGCAACATAGCCTTGCCTTTGTCCAATAATTTTAATAATCTGTCATAACTAGTGTCCTTGTTGTATGCATGCATTCTAGGTGGTAAGATTTATAATGTATAGTTGATGATACAAAATTGGTGATTGATGAGCTAGTGGGCTACATCCTGTTACCATCAGTAAGCATACAACATTGATGATACAATAGTCTCCTTGAAAATGAGGGTTTATAGCTTCTAATGCCTACAATAGCCTTTTTTTTTTTTTTATAAAAAAAAGATTTTCTTTTTCTATTTATTCTTTCTAGCTCCTATTTATGAATAGCTGCCCTTTTAGAGTTGCCCAACTAATATGAAATTTGTGTAGAAATAGGCTGGGTTGAATTTGGTCTAATGTGGAGCTATGGTTCTTTGCTATTTTTGAATGTATGATGATTTTGTCAACTTAAAAATCATTTGCAATTTTGCACATTATATCTTAGGTATTTTTTTTGATACACATGACAAGATCTATCATATCTTGTCATGTTGTCAATGCCATGCATGTGAGTGCCTCATGATTTATCATTGGTTCATTTCTTCCCATCTCCTTGATACATGCAGACAATGCATTTGATTGGGTTGTCATAACTTCTCCTGAGGCAGGTTCAGTCTTTCTAGAGGCATGGAGGTAAGGAATTAGGGTTTATTTGGGTAATTTGTGCAAAATTAATCTTGAGTAGAATGTATTTTAGATGAATTATTGTTTATTTTGAGTTAAAGTAAAACATTTGGGCAGAAGTAACCTTTAGTCACATCTAAATGATTTTGCAAATTTATCAGAACATCCCTTTGCCCTCCAAAATTAATTTTGGGTTATTGTGGAATTCAAGCCTAATATGCACTTATTACTTGCTGAGTAGTAACAAAGTCGCAATATGCATGATGAGGGTTTACTGAAGTTTGTAAAGTGTCGTTGATGATTCTGCTAAATTTTCATCATTTATTTTTTTCAGTGAGTTGATCAATCTTTATACCATTTTAATAATTTTTATTACTCCCCTTTAATTATGGTTGTCCAATGGGAAGAATTGAAATATCTGTTATTATGCAACGTGTTTTCCTATTGTCTATGCTCTAGACTATTTAGATTATGCATGAGTTGTCAAAGATGTAAATGTAAATTGTTCAAAAGATAGTTGTTTATGGTTTTGGTCTATTCTGTTGATACTTTTTATAGTTGGTTAGATGCAATGATACAAAGAATAACGTGAAGAAAACTAAGGATTTGTGTTCTGTTCTTTACAATGCTTTTTTCGTTTGCACAATTTTATATGATTTTGATGAGCACTTTATTTTTATATCAAATGATTTTCTTAGTATTGATTTTTGTTCCTAGAGCTTCCGGGATGCCTCATGTCAAAATAGGTGTTGTTGGGGCTGGTACTGTAAGTATTTTCAAGGAAGCTTTGCAGTCTTCAAACCAATCCCTTGACATTGCCTTCGTGCCATCAAGAGGTAAGCTGAATTTAAATGGCTCCTGCATTGTACTATCCCTAGTTTTACTTCTTTACCTTGGTGGTTTGACTGAAGAAATATAAAGTAATGTCCAGAATCTCATCAATATTCTGGGCTATCAAAATAGAATATGCCATAACATTAATAGTTAATTAAAGTATTCATTTAGTCTGACATGTGGCATTGACAGGAATGAAAATTAATCATTTGATTACTATAGGTGATATTACTTTAGGAATTTGTCACTGTATAGAAGAAAAAAAGAATGCAAGTTTTAGTTCTTAAACTTTTATGAATACAAAATGGTTTGTATCGCTACTTTCTTCCATAATTGCTGATGGTGGTTTGTATGGGTTGGTAACATCAATATTAGCACCAACCACACAGGCGGGGATGTCTCCTTTACCAGGGACTATGATGAGAAACATCTTTTTCTGCTTGAATATATTTCCTTACACCTTCTTTGTCCACAAACTTCTCAGTTGCTTCAATCACCAGGTTAATTCCTATGTCAAGCAATAGCATACACGCACCTTATGATCATGCCAGCATCTCAAGAAAGTTCCTTCTAATCCCCTTCGAACCATTTTATTTCTTGCATTATCACTGCATTCAACCTTCTAGAGTATAGATATACAGTAGTGGAAGCAAAAGCTGAAGCAGTAGGCATTTAGGCTTGAGCCACTACCAACCTTTAAAAATTGATGCACTAACAACTGCACTGTTGAAACCTGATCAGTCATTCACAAAAAGTTGTAGACATATTTAATTGTGAATCTGGTATGAAGAATTTAGAAGACAAAGAATATTTCCAACCATTGCTGAGATGTCTCCATCTGTGTCTTGCTCTCTAGACACTTGTCATCAGTCACCTTTTGATGTACATAAGTGACTAATTCCAAGCATTGTTAGGAGGCAAGGGCATGACTGTAGCTTTGATGATGAGAATCTCATATTCATATCAACAGAGTTAAGAAAGAATGTAACGACAGAGAGAATTCTATATAAGGACTTGCACTGTCATTTCATACAGGAACTAATTCTTAAATTAGTATTCCTATAAAAACCAACTGGCCAAATGCTCAATTTTCAACCATGTCATTGCCACATGTCAACCACACGTTTACACAGTTAACAAAGATGTTATGACAAGGTCCAATCTTCAACAAAAAGGCAGGTAGAGGGACTAAAACTTCCCCGAGTTGAGGAGGGGGTGGGGGTTGGGAGGGATCGTTCATAGACTAATACATAAAGTAGTGTCAACTCTAGGGACTTAATAATTTAACCTTAATGGTTCCAAGATATGCATCTAGACAGGGAAGAGCAGGACTTTGCTTTTACTTTGACTGTTCTGTTACTTTTGTTAATCAGTGGTGTAACTGCATGCATTTTACTAAGGAGAAAATTAACTGAGTCTAACCATGTTTAGCATTTCATCAGTAGGCTTTGTATATAATAGTAAAGTGATTGAATTGAAGCTAGCTTTTGCTAGACTGTAATTTAACTTCTGAACACGGAAGTTATTATGAATTTGGTAATTTTCAGCAACAGGAAAGGTTTTTGCTACAGAGCTTCCTAAGATTGGAAATAAATGCACTGTTCTGTATCCTGCTTCTGCAAAGGCTAGCAATGAGATTGGTACATGAGATATCTTATTGCTTTCTTAAATAATCACAATTTTGAAGTTCAATATTTGAATTAAATAAATGGAAGGCAATGATATACTAATTGTCTGATATTTATATAACCAGAGGAAGGACTTTCAAATCGTGGATTTGAGGTTACTAGGATGAATACATATACAACGGTACAATGTTTTAGCTGTACTTCTTCCTTACAAGCAATGCATATTCTTTTGGTGTTTCATATGATTGGTTGGGTTAAACTATTAAGTATAATATTTTTAATGGTACATTCCCCACAATTTGTTTCATTGTCTTTTTTGGAAATGATTTTCCTGATAGAATGTATTTTTGTGCACATGCCCCATTATGCAGTTTGGAGGAAAAGGTTTCAAAAGCACAGAATTGTGTCCTTACAACATCTATATTATATTATATTTTTATTTTATTTTATTTTATGTGTATGTTATAACCTCAGTATATGGGGAGTCTATAAACTATCAATTCAATGGCTTATTTTTTTACTTAGCTTTGATCATAACCAACCTTTTCTTGCATGAGAAATGCTAGCAATATACTCTCTTACACACTCTCCTTAATTAGTTAAAATTTATTGGAAAAACACAATTTAGTGGGTTCTACATCCTATTTAATGATTTTCTCTTCTGAATTTGTAGTTTTCAATAAATTCTAACTAATAAGAGTGAATGATTTTCTCTCTTTGATTTCTTGCATTTGCAACAACTTCTAGAAGTGGGCTATTTGTGGTCTCTACCTCAGATTCACTGCTGCCCCTAATTCAAACTTATTTGTCAGGTGCCGGTTCAACACGTTGACCAAATGGTTCTAAAGCTAGCACTTGCTGCCCCTGTTGTTACAGTAGCTTCACCATCTTCTATACGGTGAGTTTCTTTTTGCTTCTTTGTCTTTTGTCTTTTTTTTCTTTCTCCCTTTTAAAGTTTTAATAATAAGAATTTCATATTGATTTCAAACCTTCGGAGACTTGATCATATTTGTATTCAATATGTCAACTCTATGATAGGGGAAGTCATGTGTTAAACTTTCTTGATGCATCCAATGACTGTTTCATACTGATTAACTGGGAAGCTGTTTTTGTCCCTTTTTTAATTAAGCGTCATAATGACTCCTGGTATTGTATGGATCATGGAAAACTTGCTTTATCTTCTTATTTATGCTGTAAAAATAGGTAGGACATTTTCTTAGGAGGTTGCACTTTATTTAGTATTTACTCAGTTTTTCCCCCTTGAGATAATATAACTAGTTCAGATAATCTGCAGTGCCTGGAAGAATCTTCTTTCAGATTCAGAGTGGAACAATTCTGTTGCATGCATTGGTGAGACAACTGCTACAATGGCAAGAAGTTTAGGATTCGCAAATGTGTACCACCCAAAACAACCAGGCATCGAAGGGTAATCACAAATCCAAATTTTAGTGATTATAGTTAATGAATTTTCGGTAGTTCCTTTCAGTAATTTACTCTCTTTTCACCTCCCGGTCAATGGGATGTTAAGTTGGTCTAAGTGTATAAAGAGACTCTCTTGCTATTATAGACGGGAATAATATACTAACTTAAATACCAAAATTACGAGAACTTGTTTAGTTCTCTAAAATTGTAAAAATGTCATTTCAAATTTTGAAATTATCATTTAATATTTAATTTTGTAATTTCAGGAACTAAGATTATGATTGTTTAGTAAGGTGGACTAAATTGACTTTTACTTGATAATTTGTAATTTTATAGACTTAAATTGACTGATGATAATTTAGTTTATTTCTTAGTTAGACTGGTTTGAATTTCTGTTATTAACATTCTTTTTTTAACAACCTTATTCCTGACAGCTGGGTAGAAAGTATTCTTGAAGCATTAGGTTCCTATGATGAATTATTGAGGTAGATCTCAGCCTTTCGTAGCAACCTGGAGATGTTTTCAACTGTGTTCTCATGCTGCAAGGTTAATATAAGGATTTGGCATCAGTGGATGGATATACTGTCCCTGTTCAGTAGTATATTTAAGGACAAATAACTTCAATAAGAAGAGTGTAATGTATATTAGGAAATAAAGTACACTTATAGTCATTGATTAAAAAAATCATTAGTTTAGATTGTAATTAATTTCAAAGTTTGTTCAACATTCACTTGTTTATTTAATCACAAATTCTAACAATTAATTTTTAATTAATGACTATAAATGAACTTTATCTAGCGCACTCTTTCACTTAAAAACTGGATCCTTTTAGGAATACCAGAGAGGCTATCACGAGATAGTGGTAAATAGTTTCCATCATGTAAATATCAATGCCAAATTTTCTTCTATTACTACATTGAGCACTCAATTTGTCGCTAAACACTATGGATTTCCTTGATTTGAAAAAAGGATTATTTGCATTAAATGAGGATTTTCATATTTTAAGGAAGTTTATAGAGTCGACGAAAGCAAGCCAGGGCATTGATATCCTGTCACCCAAACACAACTTGCATTCAAGAATGTGGCTGACTGGAGGGGGTACTTGGGAGCCTTGTTAGTTTATCAATTATGTTTTTTTAGCCCTCTTTTCTTTTTTGGTCCTTGTAATTTTCATGTGCTTTGGTCTTTGTTATTTTTTGTCTTTCTAACATATTCATTCTTTTTAATCCCTGAAATATGTTCATTTTCAAGTAGTTCCGTGGAAATTTTTTTTGATAGGATTTAAAAGCAAATTATCCAATATTATGACTTTATAAGGAAAGAAAAATAAGTATGATATGTTTTTCAAGGACCGAAAACAATTTTAGGGCCTAAAAAAAGGTACAAATTTGCAGGGATATACAAGTTATTTAAGCCCCTTTTTTATGTATAGTATAGTATTATGTATCTGACTTGATCATCTAAGAATGCATTGACATACTATAAGACTTAAAGGAATCAAATAAGTTAATAAAAGGAATCATTGTATGATATGTTTTAGTTCATTTTAATCTTGTATGTCAATGTATCTTTAAATGTTCCTTCTATTATATATTATGTTACATTCAAAGAGTACTCCATATCAGTTATTTGTTTGATAAATAAACTGGATGATAGATAGAAGGATTATTTTTTTCATTAGAAGTTTAGGATTTAATTTGTTTTACGAATACAAATTATTTTAGGATTAAAACTTAATGTAATCTATGATAGAAGAATTAAAAGTGCAATTAAAACTTTTGTGCAAAATTCTGACTAGTGTTTTAGGCACACGTGATACTCGCACATCGTCCATGCAAGACCTTTGCTGATTAAAATTAGAAATCAATCATGAGCTTCCCACTCTCGATTCTGAAATCAATTAGGGGTGTCGTGTCGTCAGAACGAATTCATCTGAATTTAAAGTTGGAGCGGGAAGGCTTGGAAATTGAAACCCAAAAAGTATATTGAAGTCGTGGAGTGGCCTTCATAGTTTCAACTCTTCGCCATTTCCATAGGATAGACGTTGACGAAAGTTTGTAATGTCTAATAATTTATTTTCAACAAACTTATTCAAACAGATTATAATTGATTGTTAAAATGATTTATTTTCATAAATTTTCTAAGCACACCTAGGAGAAGAAAAAAATAAAATACCACTTAAGCATCTGATTATGTGGCCTGTGCAGAAAGTATTTTTCGTTAGATATCAAATTTGTATTGGTAGTAAAATTTACGTTCGTGGTAATTGTGATTGTTTATTGGACCACAGTTATCATAAATAGTTGGCATAGTACACAAGTACAAAAATGTGCTTAATGATGGTTTTTGCAATTTTAAATTCCCCAGACAAAAACTAGAGTGGGGAGGGGTAGATTATTATCGAAATGGTATGAAGACACGGAAATCTTTTTCCTTTAAAAAATGATGTCGAACTTTTGATTTTCGTTTTACTTTGTCCTTTACCGAAAGTAGAGTCGGCAAAATTCAAGGTAAAGGCATACTTACGTGCTGACAAACAATGCGCATTAGTAGCCATCAACAGAAGCTACCAAGTTCGGTTCCCGTTTAATCTGTGGCCATGTCTCATTAACAGTATTTACCTCAACCACTTTGGAGTATTACTCCCTCATTCATGATTCAACACTATCATTATTGATCTTTGGTGGATGCAACTTCCGGCTTGTGTGTTTGTTGAGTTGTTTTTCATCAAAACTCATGGAAGGTCCACTATTTCGTCTTGTACTTTTTCTCTGCCACTATCCTACATTTCTTTTGCTTCTGCTCTGTAACGGGAGTAAGGTAACCTGTCTCTGTCTCTTGAATTAGCTTACATTAACACCATGTCATATTGTCATGCCTTGTAATTACAAGACATTGAAGACAAATTTGATGACCAATTTTTGTTCTTGAGAAGTCCACTTGGTTGTCTATTCACTGCCCATTACCAACACTTAGAAACCACAACAAAAATCCATTCCCCTTCTTAATCACTAAAAAGATTACCCCAATAACAGTGATGGCGATATCAGATTTAATTTATTTTGGCAGGGACAAGACAAAGCTTATTGCATTTACAGCCACAAAGTAAAAAGTAAGAATGGAAAAAGACGTGTTTTTTAGGAAACTGCTTTTTCACCTTTTATCAGTGGTTGCAGAATTTTTCCATCATTGTTATTTTTCTTCGTTCAGCAATAAAAATCTAAAGTAAGACCCAGAAACCTTTGGCATTTGACATGTACAAACTGGTTCGACCACTTGGACCCTTTCCACCCTTTTGGTCCTTTATCTAATTTGGGAGCAATGCTAAAGAAAATTTTATGGATTTCTTAGGATCTTGGACCATCCATCACTGAGAACTGATACCACCATCAAATACATTTCTATAGCTAACCCCCACCATGTGATCAAGTGAGGATGATGGTTCAATGGACGGGTGCATGTGCTATTTGGCTAAGCACACAGCTACACACACATGATTTCGTTATAAAACGGAAAAGGCGTACAACTTAAGACTGCAATAATTAATAATAATAATAATAATAATAATAATAATAATAATAATAATAATAATACAAAAGCATAGAGAAGGTGACATGACAACCGTGGATAAAAGTGATCAGCATAACACAATGCATTTGAAATGCACGACAATCCAACTCTATTTCATTATCAAACAAGTTGCCACACTTTAAACACGAAAAGTGAAATGATTAACTTTATTGTGGATCACAAACCATCAGGAGGAGGAGCACATCTTTTTACTATAGATTGAGAGAGACACGTTGGGTTCAGTAGAGTATAATTGAGCCATTCCTTAGAATTGCGTTGGCCCAATTTTTGATTAAGAAAAGATTGCAAAACTAGTCACAGTGATGTTAGAAGGTAGTTGAACTTAAAATATAGTTGCTGGTACAAGCAACTCTTGTTTCAATAAAAAAGATGAACAACTCAATGAGAGAGTGCCTTCAACATGTTCACCAATCTCTACCACAAATTATAAATAGGAATCCCTTCAAAGGCCAAAAAGTATGGGTAAAATTATAAAACTTGTAATTTGGTGATTTTTTTTTTCTTTCAAATTTTCAGCTACACTCAAGACAGAAGATTAAGTGTACATAAGTGAGCTGGTGATTAAATGTCAAAAGTTGTTATTTGTTGATGCATTCTGAATTAATGTTACGTGTCGGTTATGCTGTTTGTGAGGCTCCGCAAAGATTAAATAAAAGCGGTAATGTTAGTGGGTCTGAATAGTACCATTTGTGTAAGGACGTTGATCCTGTCTATGGACTCTGGTTATGCTTTTCCAGCGTAAAATAAAGTGAAAAGTTTCCGAGTCTTCTTCCATGAAACTGTCATAAATAGCAGTGCTGGTGAATTATTGGCTTCTGTAGAATCAGACTTGTATTTACAATACATGATGATGACCCCTCAGTCTCAAAAGGCCTAACCTTAATTGCCTCCAAATCTTCTTAGTTTGTGCCACAACTAAAAATCACAATACTCAATAATGCATAACTGTATTCAGTGGCTTCATTTAATTCTAATTCAACTGAGTGCCTCAAACTCATGTGTTGCTGTAATAAACGCAAATGTGCCACTGGTGGGGTATTAGCAGACTCATGCATCTTAGTGGATGGTAGTTAGCGAATGTAATACGGATAGTAGTGAAACACTATCAATCACTTTGTTTTGTAGCGAAATAGGTGGCGCCATAATTGGCAAGCATGGGTGCATACTAGAAATATATATACTCTTGGATCTGGTTTGATTATGGGGTTTGACCATATTTAGTTGTTTAGCATAAGACATTATTATTTGAAAAAAATAAGAAGGACAGATGTCAAGATTCCACATCCAACTAATATAAGATCGAGTTAAATTTAAAATTAATTGTTGAAGATAATATTAAAATTTATTTTAGTGATTTTTGTTGGATTTATTGTATTACAAATTATCAAATCATATTCCACTTTAACCAGTATGATTAAATTAAATTATATAAATATAAGATAATCATCAACTTATAAATCGATTTTATATATTTAAATTATGATTAAAATTGATATTTTTAAAATAATATCAAAATTTATCTTGCCCATTATTGTTAGATATATTATATGATCACATGTTATCAAACTCATATAAGTGAACCTTAAATATCATATGTTCACAGCTGTTAAAACAGTGTTTTGTAGAGGTATAAAGAATAAGAAGAACAGTCTATTTCATATCTTCTTAAAGAGTTGAAAAGAGAATAGCAGAGTGAATATTTTACTTGAAAAGTATATTTTCTATGTACACGAGATGACATGATAGAGGGGCATGGTTTTGCTTGTTATTGCAAATGTGTTTTACGAGATACTATACTACATTGTTTTCTGTCGCCGAGGCTGTGGTATCATCATTGGTTACTACCTATACCAAGCTCTTTTCAATGGTAACAGAAAAGCAGCAACCTCCATTGTGGCGTGAGTTGAAAGCAACAATATACTTTATGATTACAATCAGTTACATTAATGTCATATTGTTTCCAGTAAGTAGGTACACAATTTCGCCTTAAATCCATTGGTAAATTTGGCTTCTATCTACACTTTTGTGCTTGATGATGAGAACAAGGATGGAAGGTCACAACTTTTCAGCTTTTGTAATGTTTAACCATTTTCTTCATTTTTTAAATTACTTTAAAAGTAAGCATTCCATATTTTTTATATATTAATATTTTAACATGTACAATCTACAATAAACATATATTTATTTATATAACTAAAATTTATAATAAATAAATATTTTAAAATATATAAATTATATATATATATATATAAATAAATATATTTTATAAGAACGTATTTTATACTTAAAATAGATACATGAACACATAAATTCAATCTTCACTGTACACATTATTATACACTAAAAAATCATTACTATATAATATAATTGATTATTGGTTTAATTACTTATTTGTTTCCTATTTTTGAACAAATTTTATCTTGTAATCCTTGTACTTAAAAATCAATTTAAGTCCCTATGCAAGCATTTTCAATTATTTTTTTATTATGTCGTTAAAAAAAATAAAGTTAACTTAATTAACAATGAATGATATAATACTGACATATTTTTACCATGACATTAACATATGTAGTATTTTTGTATTTTAGTCTCTATAATTGTACTATTTATATTTATACATTTTGGTTTCTATACAATTCTTATATTTTAATTTTTATGTTTATAATATTTGTACATTTTGATTTCTTTACTTACACTATTTGTATCTCAATGTTATAATCTAATGTCTGTGAGAATTAATTATTGTAATTATAAGTAATAAATCAGTAATTAAACCTTAATTATTTATAAACATAAAGAAGGTAAAAAAAAGTAGTACGAAAAATATCTTATTGGGAATAAAGTTTGGTTGCTTATCCAATTTAATCTTTAAGAAAGATGTATGACAACCGAAAAGCTAAAATTACACAATGAAACGACAAGACAGCTTTCAAGGTCTTTATGGAATGACATGCTTCTTCCGCAAAGATTAGGATGACGTGTTAAGTTATATTAATTAATATTTTAGATTACGCCGTATCTATGAATTAATCTTAATTAAATAATTTACTAAAAATCTTTTCTCTTAACTTTATTTTTTTTATTCATAAAATTTAATCCAATGACCTAGTTTAAAAAGAGGAAATCCATTGTGTGTATAAACTACTTGTTGGTAAATTATATTACAATTAATTGTCTAGTTGATTATCCACCACTCATATTATTATTTGTAAAACAGTTGGACATTTATTTAATTTAAAATTATATCTATAACAAAATCTAGTTATTAATAATCATGATTGTGTATCAAACCTCACGTCACGTGGTTTGGGATGGGGACATGAGGGCATTGTTTGAAGCACAGCACAAGCTTTGGCTTCTTTTCTTTACGTATCTTCTCACCCACCCATATCTATTTGCCGTTTCATCTGCGATTCCATTTCTCTCCCCACTGCATGTTTTCAATTCAATGCAAAAACAAAAACAAAAAGTTACAATTTGATTGAACAGTGCCGCTAAGTTTTGTTTAGTAATTGTTAGCACGTCAATTAAACATTTATTTAGCAACAAGTATGTGACAACAACGACTTCTAAGTTGTCACAATATTAGAGTCCAATACTCACCCTTCCTCTCTTTAACATTCTTTTTCATTTTGCTAAGGTATTAATAAGTGGAAAGCAACTATCTAAAGTATATATTAAGAGATAATTCACCGGCAAAAGCTACCAACCCAAGCCTCATAAAAAAATGATTAGGTGTAAGAGGATAAGAAAGTAAGAAAAAGGCGAGGGTAGGAGCGTTTTGATGAGGTTAAAATTAATAGGAACTTAAATGGAAATGGAAAGTGCAGAGCACTAGCCTTCATTATGACATGCGCCTCATGGGAGCCATCCACACCGCTTACTCTGCCTCACTTCCATTTTAGGCTCTATTTTACAACACAATAATGGACAATTATTTTTATTTTAATATTTTTTAAGAACTCAATTCTAGTATAAATAATTAACCTCAATTTACATAAGTGGTACGAACTTATGTTCCATAAACAACATGTCCATGATATAATTAAATTTATTTATAAAATTTATTTATATTATTTTCTTATTACAAATGAGTATGTAAATTTTTTATTTTTATTTTTTGCATATAAAAATTTAAATTTAGATAAAACATTACTTCATATTAGATTAGAGGTAATTACTAACTTCTTTAAGAATTTATAATAGAATTTCAAATTGTCTTATCTCATTTGCTAAGCAAATCCATATAATAAAAAAATAAAACATGAGAGAGTCAAATTTGATTCCAAATTTTAGTTAATAGTTATTTTGAGTTTGAATCCTATGTATATAAGTTAAATTCTCAAAAGAAAAACTTTGACGTTTGTTATCTAATTCCGAAGCATTAAAAAAGTATGTTCTAAGGTGTCTAAGTCCTAAAATAAAGTTTTATACTCATTTGTCCATACTTATAATTATTTAATAATAGTTTAATAAAAGGCATTTAAATTATTCAACAAGATTTGCTTAAAATTTAATCAATAGTAAAAAATCCATCTCTCTTCCCTTAGAATACTTATAATTATTCTTGAAACTAAAAAATATGAATTCTTGAACATGTGCCTTTGTTAACAGAAGCACAGAACCGTCCTTTAAAAGCTTTTTCATGATCTGAAGCGGTTAATTGGACTCACCCCCATTTTCATTCTCTTCTTCTCTTCGCCATATTTCTGCTTATGGGTAATTGAGTGTCATTTGGTCACAGTTTCTCTGAACTTGTCTTCTTGCATGTTACTATTACAGAAAGTTGACAACTGAGGTTACAGTGGTTGATACATGTATATATGCATGCAGCTGCAGAAGATTCAGAACAAGTGCAAAAGATGAACACCACCGTCAGGTCCAGGCTGCAACAAAGGAAACCTCCAATCACACTGTCACATGATAAGGTAATAAATTAAATTTGCTATAAAGACAATTATCACAACTCAGAACCCGGTACATTTATATCCAATGTATTTTTGAAAAACGGTTGCTACACTATACCAATCAATCAATTATTATTATTATTATTACTATTAAATTATGATTATGATTATTATTATTGAATTATGATTATGATAGCCTAACAGTTCTCATCCAAAGTTATGGCTTCAGTTTAATTGACCATTAATGATCCCGGGAATTCTCGAAAAATCTCATTTTTTATTAACTAATACCGCACCATAAAAAGGGAATGAATTGAGGAAAAGAAAACATGCCCTTTATTTTTCATAATTCATGATTCATGATTCATGATGCTTGGGTTAGGTTCTATAAATCTCAAGCTTTCAACCTTTTTTATCCGTTTTTACTTGCGAATCTGGCATAAGACATACCTTATGAAAGTTTGATTCTAACCTTTAAAGCGTTGAATGAAAAGGCAGAAATGAGGGGAAGCTCGCGAGGTGGAGCAAATAATTCTGTTAAGGGCGGAAAAGCATCGAACAAAGACAGAAAATTGGCTTTGCAACAAGATGTAATGGCATAGTCTCTTGGACAATTTCTTATCTGGGTTTCATTTTCTTGCTTCTGATTGGATTCTCCAACTTATTTTCAGGTTGACAGGTTGAAGAAGAAGCTTAGGCATGAGGAGAACATCCACAGAGCATTGGAGAGAGCTTTCAATAGGCCTTTGGGAGCTCTGCCTCGTCTTCCCCCATATCTCCCTCCTTATGTCAGTAATCTCTCTCTTTTTTTCTTTTTAGTCCTTTTATTAACTATACTACTCTAAGACTATGTTTTGATAAACATATTTATTGGAGAAGAACATCAGAAGGTAAAATTAATTATAAGTTTCTATGCATAAGCTTAAATCAACATTTTGAAGAAGTTTTCTATTTTTGACACCTTTTGAAGAAGTTAAATGAATTGGCGTTTACATAAGTTATAATACATAGGTTGATTTTAACTCGGAGAAGTTTAATTCATTTTGTTTTCTTATTTTCTTGTATTAATGTTTATTGAGAAGTTTATTCAAATTAGGCCTAAGAAAAGAAATCACTTATAATCACAACTCAAGTTAGACAGAGCTTAGAAGGGGAAATGAATTCATTTAAATATAATTTTTGAAGGGTTTTATAGAGGAGGTTATCATGTTCCAGAAACTTGACTGGACTTAATCCTAAAAAATCTAGACTCTAGGACTTCTGGCTGAGGTGGCAGTGCTGGAAGAAGAAATTGTAAAGCTTGAAGAGCAGGTTGTTCATTTCAGGCAGGACTTATACCAGGAAGCTGTCTACATGTCATCCTCTAAGATGAAACTTGAGCATTCAGCAGGTGTGAAGAATTCAATCCCAAATAGTAGTCCCAAATCGTGTAACTTGCAGTCCCTTTCCCAGACAATGGATAATGCTGCAACATCTGAGACTAGGCCTGCAACGACACTTCCAAGTGAGTGACTGGTCATTATGTGCCACAAATTGAGGTTAAGTTGTTTCAGAATTGAGCAGAAATTTTATAAAGTACATTCTCTTGTTGTTTGTCTTGCCAGAGGATAGACATGGAAAAGAGAACCAATCATGTACTAATTCGTCCAAGAGCAGCAAGCAATCCATATGTAAAGGCCAAACTACAAAATCGCCGATTAAGAAACTTCCCGTTGACAATAAATCACTGCAGAAACGTTGGGATCCTCCAAAAAAAAAGGTGTGTCATGTGTTAAAATAGTTTTCAGTTGTGTGATAATATGAGTGGTAGGTCAAAAATTGGAGACATTTTTTTGAAAGTCAATGAATGTAAGCTTTCCAACTGTGCAGCAAGAACTAAGGCTGAACCACCAGCAAATTGCAGAAGTAGGAAATCATAGTCTACACGAAAAATCACGAGGGGATGAAAGTCCAAATATAATCTCTGAAAATATTCTAAGGTGTTTATCAAGCATTCTCTTGAGAATGAGTGATGCGAAGAATTTGGATTCTACCGGTGATGTACCATCCTCATGGACTCCAAAATCTAAAATCTGTGTTGAAGACCCTTATGGGATATGTTTGGAATTTGGAAAGAGGAATATTGGTCCATACAAGCAATTACGTGCAATTGAAGCTAAATCATTCGATCCAAAACGAACTGCAAAGTCTTTGTTTTTACTACATCGGTTGAAGTATGTTTTATTCTTTTTGAACTAGAGTACTATTACTTTTCCTTTTCCTTGACACTTGTCAATCGTGCTAGTTAGATGTTAGTCATATTACCATATTCTAATTTTCCAAAATTTGCAGAATTCTTTTTGGAAAACTAGCCCGTGTCAACTTTGAGAATCTCAATCACCAGGAGAAGCTTGCATTCTGGATCAACATCTATAACTCATGTATGATAAACGTAAGTGAATTATGTCCACTATAATTACATGTAGTGCCATCTGAAATTGCCTTTGTTAACAGAATCGTTCTTTGAACCAAACACACTTTTGAAGTCACTGAAAGCTTATTTAAAAAATTCTGTTTTGCTTTAGGCATACATAGAAAATGGCATACCAGAAAGTCCTGAAATGGTTGTTGCACTGATGCAGAAGGTATGATCTACTAGAAAGCTTAGTTTCTTCTGATTAGCATGGCAATGCATTTTGTTTATTCCTTGAGTTGAGTGTAATAGCATTGATTTGCTCAAGAATTTATGCTGTTTTCTTGTCACTCAGGCGACAATAAATGTTGGTGGACACTTGCTAAGTGCAACAACCATAGAACATTGCATTCTAAGACTTCCTTATAACTGGAAATTTGTAAGTTCTGTCCATTTCCAATCTAGCTTTTCTTGGGTGGGAAAATATAGAAAATTTCTAAGCTTCTCACAGCTAAATTTTAAACAGACATTATCAAAGGGAGGGAAAAATCACGAAACTTACGGACTGGAATTGTCAGAACCCCTAGTGACATTTGCTCTATCGTGTGGAACTTGGTCCTCTCCTGCTGTAAGTTGATACCTAGTTTAGATTGATTTTTTTGTCTCCAGTTATCAAGTTATCATTTACTTGTCCATTTCTATTGTTACGTCTGTTTTTGTTGCACTCCATAATTTCATGATTTTCATTGTCTTGTAGCTGATTCATTAACTTTGTCTATTTCAGGTGAGAGTTTACACGGCATCTCAGGTTGAGAATGAACTTGAAATGGCGAAAAGAGAATACTTACAGGCTGCAGTTGGAATTTCAACATCCAAGTCTGTTATCCCAAAGTTGCTGGATTGGTATTTACTGGACTTTGCAAAAGACTTGGAATCATTGCTGGATTGGATATGCCTCCAATTACCAAGTGATGTGGGGAAAGAAGCCATTAAGTTCCTCGAGAAAAGAAAAACCGAGCCACTCTCACAATTTGTACAGATTATGCCATATGAGTTCAATTTTAGATACTTGTTGTGCACATAGTTTTGCTTCTGTGGATACAATTTGTAAACAGCTTTAGATCATACATATAAGAATGTAGATGTCACCTATTCTTTTTCTCACTTTGAAGTTTGAATAGATTTTCTTAAATGCCTTCTTATTAACCACAGTGATAAAAGCAGTCAATGTTGCATAAGTCAAACCTTCCTTCTTATCGGTGCTCAACGTATGATTGCACTGTCATTTAGAAGGCTAATAGGATCAGATTTAAATATCAATCTTCACCTGGAAAGAAAAACATGTTCAGAGAGTTTTAAGTGTAACTAAATTCTGAATTGAGGATTAGGCTCATAACCGGTGTAAACAAAGGACTAAACTTGTTGGAGGGTAAAATGCGTTTCAATTTTTTGTTTTATGCCACATAATTCTTTGATTAGGCTTGCGTAGAATAGGAGAACTATGAGAGAAAGAATAATGTATACGAGGAGTGTAATATTCTAAAGTAAAATGATTAAGGATGTGGTAACGTGTCACTTGAATTATAGAACTTCTCACACTTGATTTATTCTTTATATATCTATATTGTGTTCATTTCACTTTATTAAAACATAATTCTAATTAAAAAAATAACTTAAACTAAAATATAGAGATAAGAAATATCTCGATTATATCTATATTATTAATAAAGGATTTTATATATTTACTGAAAGATTTTATGTTTTTAATAAAAAATGAATTCTTAAAATCTTCATGCCTACTTAACATTTTTAAATTAAAAAATTTTAAAATATAAAATTAATTCTAAAATTTTTAAATATAAAATTAATTTTTATCCTAAAATTTAACTTAATTTTAAAATAATATTTTTTAAATTAAAAAAATTCATAATAATAAAATTTATGGTGATTTGGATGTTGAGGTGACCTATTTTAACGGCTGAATATAATTAGTTATAGAGTAAAATTTTCAATAACTCATTTTACATTAAATTTTAACAATCAAACTTTTGAATTAAAGATTTTAAATATATAAATTAAATATGCATATTTTTTTAAAAAAAATTGAAAACCATTTGATATTTCATTTGTTAATTAAAATCAATATATAAAATATTTTTATAATTATCTGTCAATTTGAATTAATGAAACGGAATATCAAAGAATTTTTAAATTATTTAAAAATTTATAAATTTGATCTATGCATTAAAAATATTCAACTCAATGGTTGGATTATGTAAAATTTAATTGAATTATTAAGTGGAGCAAGTCTAAGCAAATTTATTCCTAGAGTAACTATATCCCTCCCGCGACCTCTCTCTCTCTCTCTCTCTCTATATA